TTCCTCATGCTCATTGTAAAGGACATGAAACCAGATATTACACAGTATCAGAAGTCAAATAATATAAACCCTTTTAAAGCTGAAAGTAGGATACTTCAGCAAATGGTTGTTTTTAAATTAAATGTCAAAATGTCCAAACTTGGGAACATGGGTCATAAAATTAAAGACTAAAGATTAGTTCTTGTCATAAAAGAAAAGGAAAAAACGTATATAATGAAAAGATAGGAGAATGCAGCAGACTTGCGAACAATCCATCCTACTCGTCACCTCATTAATGCTTAGCACCGAAATGCTAATGAAGACTTGCGTCCACCACCTGAGCAGCAGGGTCACTGGCATGACACAGAACTAGTGAAAAAAGGTAAAAGGCAGAAAGACAAATTTATATATATAAACGTGTATATATATGTGTATAGGCAGACACATACATATATATATGCACACAAACCATTTTATATATNATTTTGTAGAAATATTTTGGGGACTAACATTTACTTCGTTGAAGAAGTATTTAATTAAAGTTTAATTGTTTCTTTATAGTTAAATAAAATACTAATTATTATGCTCATATAAGATTCATTACAACTGTTAGAAAAGTAGTAAATTTATAAATAAAATTATATATTGACTATATTTTCATTCTTCCACATTAACAGAAGCCTGGAATTCAATTTACCAAATGCAAATGAATTGTGGGGGATTGAATTTGAAATGATTTATTTTTAAATTTCTTCCTTCTAGATTTCTTTGTTTAAATTTTGAAAATAGAACTAATATTAATTTCTAAATCTAATATTAATTTCAAGTTTGGTTTGATCAAATTTCCTATTTAACGTGGGTATCAAACCTGGGTACTTCGTTTTCATATCTAAACATTGAAGGTTGGGATCAGATGATCTATATAACATGTCACATTATAAAAGTACGATTCTAATATTTTTATTTAAATATGAAGACTTTCCTCATGCTCATTGTAAAGGACATGAAACCAGATATTACACAGTATCAGAAGTCAAATA